AATATAATAAAAAAAAACATAAAAAATGAATAAATATAAAACAAAACTAAACGGGGTACAAATAAAACTAATAATAGTAGTGCACCAATAAAAAATAAAACGAAAGAAAGGATTTTTAAAGATGGTAATACAATTACATAAAAAGCAAAACCAAATCATCGCATTCCACGTGTCTGATCACATTATTTTCCATATAACATTTTTTTGATCTTTACTTTAAACGACGGCAAGCTCAACATTTTCAATGATTGGGGTAAGCTATTATAAAATTTAGGTAAGTTGTAAGAGAATGATCTCTCATATAATGTAATATGTAACGATGGTGTGACAATACCCTTACTTCAAACATTTAAGCTATGGACATCAGTGCGGAATGTAATCTTATCATACAAATACGATGGGCATTTAAGCTGTAACTTATGATAAAATGAAACCGTATGGTATATGCGACGGTTAAACATATTCAGCCACCCAAAATCGATCAGCCTGTGAGACATGGCACCCTCGTCGAAGCCCGAAAATCATTCGGAGACATGAATTCTGAACATGTTGAATCCTTTGTGATGTTTTTTAGTTCAGACAAGTATGATATACTGTATCACAAAAGCTAAAATGGCTCAGCACTAAGGAATCGCAAAGCATAACCTTTGTGCTGCGGTTCAAAATATTTCTCATGCTATATATGAGCTTCCAAGCAGCAAATGAAATTTTTATTTTGTCCAGGGTGTGCTTTTCGAACCTAAAATTCGTCTCGAGCTGTAATCCTAAATTTCTAGTACACTGCCTAACACCAATACGTTTACCACCAATATTAATTTTAAAATTTTCTGCAAGAGAGTCTCGTGGGATAAAATAGCTGATAACATCCTATGATTGACAATATCAAAGGCCCTACTGTAGTCTAGCAAAACTAATCCAGTAAGCCTATTTTGATCCGCCGTAATATGTCATCAACTATATGCGTTAATGCTGTATCATGCTGTGCAACTGTAGTTAGCACGAAATCCAGACTGTGTCCTACTCAAAATATATATCTAATACTTTAGACAAAACAGATAAAATACTAATTGGTTGCAGATCCGAAAATGTCATGGGATTTTTGATCTTTAGCAAAGGTGTTACCAAAGATTTCTTGCAACACTTTGGAAAGATTGACCTCGATAAGCAAATATTAATAATATGTGTGACGTAAGGAATCATGAAAGGACAACAATAATGTATCATCACAACCGAGAGTTCATCATATCCCACACTGCCAGATTTGATATTTAACAAATGGCCCACTACAATATGCTCCGAGACAGGCACAATAGCAAAAATTCATTAAAAGTAGACGTTTTCGTATTAGTATAAGCCTGAACTAACTCTGGATCAGCGATCATTGAGTTTTCAGCAGCTTGTAAATATATATCATTAATGCCTTCAACGTCACTCAAATGTTGTCTTTTGATTTGGTAACATTCAGATGCCTTAGTGATTTCCAGAGATCCCTGGAACTTTTATTTTTAAAAGATGCTGAAAACTTAACGATCGCTGATCCAGACTTAGTTCAGGCTTATACTACTACGAAAAAGTCTACTTTGTGTATAACGGATATAATGATACGAATTGACATGGAGTAACAGAGCTTTAAGCTTCCACTCTTATAATTCCATTCGTTTCGCGGAATTTTTTTTGTTACAACATCCAAGTTTATGAAATTTATACTCAATACGAGTTACAGTGAGAGATCAATAGATTCTTAAGTGTATCTGGAATTTATTGAATGTAGACCTCGATTTACAAACACTTTCGGACAATTTCCAAGAAGTTTTAGAAAACATTCATAATTATTGTAAAGAGTTTCAAGAAATGATTAAATTTTTTAATTTTTTTTTATACTATTGGACATACATGTTGAACTGTAGAAAGTTTCTAATAGATTTTCAAGCATATCTTGATAATCTAAAGAATATTCAAGTATCCCCAAGGAATTCCAAAGAGATTTAGAATTCCAACGAATTTGGATTTACAATATTTTCGCAATATATTATATCCAAGAATATATAGAAAATTTTAAGTAAATTTATATCAACTTACAACACTTTCCAAGGATTTCCTAAATTTTCTAAAAGTCTGCTTTGTCAAAGATGCTCGATGCAATTCTAAGAATTTTTATGTATTGTTAAAGTTTTCAAGAAAATCCTAGAATTATACGCATGTTTTAGGAATTTTGAGACTGGCTGAAATAAGCTTTGAAATCGTTTTCTGGATATTTGGAATATATTGGAAGTGAAGCTGGATTTACAATGTCTTTTAGAGTATTTCCAAAAATTTAAAAATCCCAAATAAATGCTTGGAACTTCAATAATTCTTTCAAAATTGTACAATGACTACAAGCATATAAACAGTTTTGGAGTATTTTCAAAAATTTCTGCAGAATTTCCATGGATTACGTAAAGATTTTCAATGAATTTCAAAGTATTTACAAGAATTTTGAAAAATTTTTAAAGATTGCTTTGGAAGATTGCAACAAAATTTTAGAAGACTATCAATAGATTTTTATGAATTTGATGTGTTTTTGGAGAATTTTGAAAGAAAAAATGTCAATACTTTTTGTAGAATTTTAGAATTCTAACACCAAAATTACTAGTTTCTACGATTTATTGGATTTGCATCTAGGTTTTCATAGATTATCGAATAATTCTCAAGATTTTCTTCAAGACGATTTCCATGGGTTTCAAAAGATTTTGGAAATCTCTGTCTAACAATATTTGATATTTATTTGGACGAGGCACGATATTCCAAAATATTTCCAGGAATTTTACGAGTGCTCAAGAAGTTTATTTATTTGCGTTACATCCGGATATTCAAAATATATAATAAGTTTCAAAATAACTTCTTCAATTGTCCATGGGATATCTAGGATTTCTTTACATGTAACAAGATTATTCAAAGATTTTCAAAAAATGTTCAAGCTTTTTTAAGAACTTTTTGATGTTTTTATGAATTATTGGAGTTTGTAGAGATTTATTTACGTTATATCAAAAATTTACAAGTTTGATTCATCACGGTTTTCAAAAAATTTCAAAAAAGGTTGTAGTGGTTTTTGGATTAAAGTGGAAGACTTTCAAGTATATCTTGCGAGTTATCAACGATTTCCATAGGTTTCAAATGATCATGCAAATTTCATTATGGAATACATTCAGGATTTACAGAAAATTTACAGGTAATAGAACTTTCAAACGTTTTCATAATTACCCAAAGGTTTTTAAACTTAATTAGATCACATCTAGGTATTCAATTATTTGCAAGTTATTTCAATGAATTTCTAGACGATTTCAAAACCAGAAAATGTTTTCTGGGAATGCTTTTTCCTTCCCTCTACCCTCCATCATCAAATACCGTGGATTTTCCTTCGTTATTATGACCTTAAACTTATTATTATGTCGCCCCTTTTCTACCTGACCACGCCATTCTTGTTTTTCAACATCTCTACCTCTACCCTCCAACTCATACTACAGTATTGACCCTTCCTTCCCCTTTCTTTGTATTTCCTCTGTTGAGTACCCTACTCTCATGTAATATTCCCTTCTTTCTTGGTGTCCATCCTCCTCCACCCTAGTCTTAACCTCCCTCGCCAACACTATCCCAAAATCTTCAAGTCGCTCCTCTGCTCCAGATCATCTCGTACTTTATCGCCCTGCTGTCTGCTTCCACTATCATCTTCTCTAGCTTCAACACCTCTCTCTCTATATATCCCGGAGTCTCGCTGCTCAACCGCAAGACCCACTTTCAATATCTCCCCTGGATCTCCTCCATATTATTATCATAGTCCTCGCAAATACATCAACCATTATTTTTCGCCTGCACAAATCTTTTCAAAATATTCGTTCCCCCCAGCTCCAAATCTGTCCCAATAATCTACTTGCTTTTCTAACTCTCTGCCTAATATGAGTCCCCACCCCGTTCTCCCACCGAAAGGTAAGTCCCAGGTACATAAATTCTCTTCCGTCTTTCCATCCATCTTACCATCGCTCTCAACTCTTTAAATTCTGTTGCCAACAGCACTAGATCATCAGCATTGGCCAATGAATGTGTCTTTTGTCTTTTCAAGAGATTCATGAGTCATTACTATGGATATTTTTACATCTTTAAAACACAAATCCAATTGTAGTGAAGAATACACATAAAGAATTGGACACATCACTGTCCATAACAAAGATCGTGCGTTTCCTAGCTTAAATTATTACGGTTTGACACCATTGATCTTAGCTCAAGTGTAAATAATTGTAATGATATAAATCATTAAAATTAAGCATCCGCACGATTGCTTTTTAATGTTATATTTGATTATAAATCTTTTCAAAAAAGATGCCGTTCGAGGTCATTGCCTTCAACGTGTTAATAATGATTGCTTCCTAAATGACTTATTTTATTGTTCGGAAATAAGATTGATGCGATTATATATTTTATTTTATGATGGTATCGGTTAAAATCAAATAAATTATCATTTATTAATTAAAATAATTCACTTAATTATTGAGCTTTTCAACTTAAGTTCTTAAACTTTTTAGCGCAAAATTTAAGTGGTGGTTTAAGCACAACATATAATCATTTACTTCCAAAATCTTAAGATCCTTCGATCGAACGAACAATTTGATTTTATGCACACACCTGGCGTTTAATAATTGACTAATCTAAACTTATCCTAATCAAATCGATAGATTTAAAGGTCGCAAAACAATTTTCATCTAACCAACTATGTACGGTAAAAATTGCACGGTGATATCTTTGTTAATTGTTCAGTAAAAAGAAATTGAAAAACCATTTGGTGTATAACAGCCAAAAAATAACCAATTGGTAGTAGGGCCAATGGCTCAGATCAACCCTTCCAGACCCAACAGAACTGAACAGCTAATTTAAATCCGGGTAGTCCGGGTGGGAGCTTCGTGATACTTCGTTGACTACCGTACCTTGCCGAGCGTTCGAATTGTCCTGACAGTTAACGCGGCAAAATCAGTTGACCACGAACTTTGCTAGCTAGTAGTTCTGTATATACGAGCTTTTTCATTCCATCGTCTTATCTCAATCGTGAATGTCGTGGTTTTTTAAATAAACTTTAAAAACATTATCAATTACCATGTAATTATCTTTTACTTTTAAGAATTAAATTAATTGGACTAAATCCGAAAGGATTTTGAAATAGTTTTCAAAAAAAATTAAGTTAGAATATGTGCTTGAAAATGACTGAAACAAGTGTCAGTGTTCGTGTGGATTACACCCTCTTCATCTTCACCATCGTAACATTTATCTGCGTTACGATATCATCAGCGTCGATTATCGGAGATGAATGCGACTGGACTGGAAGGTATTGTTAAGTTTATTTTAAAAAGAAACATAAAAAATACGGGAGTTAACAGCTTAATAAATAGCAGCCGACCCACAACACTGAATTAACCAAACGGAAATCCAAGTTAACTGTTGTACAAGAATAATAGTCGACCCACGGGTTTGTTGTTATCCGCAACGTTAACTTAAATTGAAGTAAATTCCTTGTTAAGATTGTTAAAAGCGGTGATTATTTCATTTTTTTGGTAATTTTTGATGTGACTCAAGGATATTATTTGCATACTTTATTTCCTTAAATTATGAATCACTCTTATTATAATTTGATGAACTTAACATAAAGAAAAACATTCAGAATTAAGCTCAAAAAGTTTTTTTAAGCTTATTAAGCATTAATTAGGATTCATTAATTTGTCACAAATCATGAGTATCTTTGCTTATGCTTCCTATTAGAAATTCATTAAGCAAAATTAAAATTACAGATATAACTGGTTTATGTAACATTCTATTTAGACGTCTTGAACTAAAAGTAGAACTAACACTAAACCTAGAACTAGAAACATTCGGGTTTAGCTGAACGTCTCTTAAGACTGCTAAACCCGAATGTTTCTAGTTGTAGGTCAACACTAGACCTACACTAGTTCTACCAACACTAGTTCTTATTCCAGTGTTACTTCTTGTTTTAGTTATATAGCGTTAGATTGTTGTATATTTTACATTGAACTAAAACTGGAACTAACACTAGACCTAAAACTAGAAACCTTCGGGTTTAGCCGTCCGTCTCTTAAGACGGCTAATCCCGAATGCTTTTAGTTCTAGGGCTAGTGTTAGTTCTAGTTTTAGTTGTTATTCAGCAATTTTTATTAAATTGTTGTATACGAAACTAGAAAGTTTCGGGTTTAGCCGTGCATCTTCAGTCAAAAAATATTTGTAAATAGTACTTTCTCTATCGGAAAATTACATCTTCGTTAATAGGTACGTTTACGGTATACCTAGAGGGGCGTGTTGTCCTCGATATAAAAGATAATTGTAAGGATACGCCCCTGGCGAAAACAACTCATTACCGCCGACCAAAAGCGGCAAATCAAAATCACTCTTTACGCTCGGGTTGCAATGGGAGATAACTGTTAATTCCTCGGGCCTCACATGAACTGTCCCAGATTGGGATTGATTATCGTTATGCTCGAATCTTGAATGTAATTGCGTTAAATTCGTACCAAAGAGAAGAACGATTTCTTATTTTATTAATCGATTTACATATCAGGATCGATTCGACGATGGCCTGCCACCGATAACGTCCCAATTAAGTAATTCTTTAAAGGATATAAACTCGTAAAACTTTTTTAAATTTTATTTGGGGAAAGTTACATCTAAAGATATTTTATTTAATTGCATATGTATAAAGAGGAATGATTAAAAGATCAAAAGAACCGCGAAGTAAATTTTCTTTTTAACGAAAGAAAAGAATTTTTTTGAGGTGATTATAAAAATCCTTATAAAGACAAAATAAGATCCTTAGTGCACACATTACACATCATCGAGATTCTTGAACTCATCATCTGAGTATCTGCAACACGTAGAATTACATAAATTACAAGGCTTGAAAATCCCGTTTTTGGCTTTCATTAATGGAGGGTTCGCTGCTCCTCAAGCGACTAACTGGACTAAAATACACCTTTAATTAAGCGGTCACTCACGAAAACCTCTCTTCATCACAAATCGTTTAAAAATAGTGGCGAATCTAAGCTTTTTTTTATGGTATTAAACCCAAACATTTCGCGATGTTAATTGTTTGGGTGAAACTAAATCCGAGGGGTGAACCTCGTGAGAATCATCATATATCGCCGTTCACTGTTTAAAAAAAACCGCGAACATGTGCTGAAATCGGTCTTTAGATGAGCCAGAAGATGTCTGCTGATTTATGACGTGCCGCTGGCTTCGAAGAAGTCGTCATGGCTCGTCGTAAGAACTTGAAAAAAACTGGAACAGATTTTGACGGTAACGGGATCTGTTTTCTTCGATATTCTTTGGTCATGGGACAAAAATTGCGACCAGTTTTTTACTTTGTTTGGTTTAATTTTTTAAATTAAGTTGTAAGGAAACCTTAAAAAATAGAGTTATTAACACTTAAATTATCGCCTGGTCAATTTAGTGAAAAGAATAAAAATCCATCTTCTATTTCATGTTACTCTTTGTTTATGAATAGAAAATCCTTGAAATTAGCCAAAATTTATAGTTTACTTAATATTTATGAGGAGTTTTTCTCCATTAGGTCTCCTGCCTTGGTAGATGCATTAAAACTTCATCAAGTCGACTTTAAAGCTGTATCATTCCTAGATTAAGTCTGCATCAAGTGCATATCGAGATATTTCCTATAAAGTCTACATCATCTTGCAAAAAGTCCTCACCATGATTCTATCCAATCATGTTTGTACAGAATCAAAACTGCATCTATGGTTGCACCTAGATTCCTTCATGATTGCATAAAATCTTTGCACAATCCTTAAAATCCTTATAAATCAATTTGTACAGAGTCTAAAGTCTTGCTTCAGCTCTCTATCAAGTCTACATCAAAGAGTTTATGAGTTCTTCAACATTGCATAAAAGCTCCCTATATCATTATTAAAGTTGCTTTATGTCTTTCAAGCTTGAATCAAATCTTGATTATGTGTCCTGTCTAAGCTGCATCAAGTCTACTTTAAACCCGACAACTCCGTGTAATATCTACAACAGCTCTGCATCGATTTCTTATCATGTTTCTATCAAATTATGTCTATACAAAATCAAAGAAGTCTACGTCAAAACTGCATGTATGAGTGCATCGAGATTATATCAATATTACATAAAATCTCCATACATCCTTATTTAATCTGCATTATGTTTTCGAAGTCTGAATGTAACCTCCATTCCAAGCTCGACAACTCCGTATAAAGTCCACAATATCTCTGTATCGATCATAATAGATATATCAAGGCTCTATCAAGTTCTTATTAAATTTGTATAAAGTATTTGAAATCTGCATAAAATATCCATTATGTCTCTGGCCTTATAAATGCATTGCGCCTTGATCAAGTTTATTTTAAATCTTTGTTAAACCTGCATCAAATATCTGCCAAACTTGCATCGAGATTACTCCGTATAAGTTTACACCACCTCTACATTAATCCTCGCGTGTCTATGTTAATCATACATCTAGCAGTGTATCAAGACTCCTTCAAGGTTGCATAAAAATTCCATATAGACCTTATTAAATCTTTATCGTATTTATGAAACCGGCACCAAATCACTATTATGTCTCCTAGGTTTATAGATGCAGTGCGCCTGCATCAAATGCAGTTTAAATCTCTATCATGTCTGCATCAAATTTCCATCACGTCTCCATTGGGACAATTGTGTATACAGTCTACGTCATCTCCACATCATAATGATGTTTCTATCAAGTCAAGTCTTCCATCGAAATAACTCCGTATAAAGTCTGCATCATCTTTGCATCACATTCTTATTACTATGATTTGATTCTTCCGTTCTTAATGTTTTCACCGACAATATCCCCTACTTTACGGACTCACTGTATAATGCCCTACACTATGATACCCTATATTCTGCAACAACAAGACAACTCAAGTTAAAATGACATTCACAATAAAAGTACGAAAAGTTATCATTATGAAGGATTATCAATATAGGTATAATGGAGCCTCTATTGTATGTACATATTTTCATCTCCTTGTAATTTTGTAATTTTTTTGGCAACGTCATTAAATGCTTTACAAATATTAATTATAACCATCAAAACAAATTACGGATTATTAATTTTTCAAACAACATTTCTTGAGTTATTTGATTTTGGCAGTAATGCAACGATATTTTTTATATTTTACGCATATATTCAAAACTGCTCAACAATATTTTGTATGTCATTTGTTTTTTATTTTACTTTAAACTAACGATAAGAATAAATGATGAAGTGCAAACGCCCCAATGAATCATCTATAAACGATTTCAATCTAACTAAATCATTTTCTTTTACTTATACGTGGTTTTATATAATACACACTTTATCTAAAACCACACAGAGAATTAAGCATATTATCTTTGTGATGTGGTTGTAATCCAAACAGTATTTCTAACATTGAATTTTTTATCTGTTAAATATCTTCTGTCAAATAAAATTATTACTTTATTTTTAATCGCAGGATATTTCACGTTGTAAGACGTGAAACATGACTACACTTTATCCCTTTTATCTTTGGTACACTTTGAAGGTGGATGACAATAAATACGTGGGCACGAAGAGAGCACGAGGGTCATCACACTGGCCATATAAGCATGCATCTCTGTCGCTCTGTCCTCCTACTCTTCCTCCTTCTTATATTCCACTGGTGGCGCTTCGTTTTTATGGAACATGTCACCTCAAGCCGCTACCCACGCTTTAACCCAAGATAAAACTTGCTGTTGTTGCCCCATTATAACGTTGTGCAAGCGGTCTTAAACAGCCAGGTCTTCATCCAAGTCCTCAACCGTTGAAGAAATACAACTTCTGTCGCGATATTGACAATGGTAATTAATTTACAACTTCTTTGATGGAACACCCCTATCTATTTATCGCATGGACTTAGAAAAAATATCAGTTTACAAAACTTGAGACGAAAATTTTTTTTTTAAGTGGTTTTTTAACTTTTATTTTCTTTTTTAGCCCATAATAAAGTATACCTTTCAATAAGCATAATAATTAAGTTCACATCAAGGCTTATTAATCTCATTCGTTCAATAACCATTGTGTTATAAGGTTTTAAGCGTTCCCTAAAAGATATCATCTATCTGGTCCCTAATTAAGGGGCATTAAAGGGAAACTAAAAGTGGACCGTTCGAATTTCGAGCACGAGCCAAGACGAACTCAGAAAACCGCTCAAAGGCCCGATCGATCTCAGAGGGCGCTCGAGTGCTTTGAGCAAATCCAATCCGTTGGATTCGAACTGGTCGGAAACACGGTGCTCGCCACAAACGGCACGCGCGATCTCT